ATTTGATGCTCGATGGATGAATGTACCCATCATTGGTTACTATCTTCTACCGAGTTCCTACAAACTTCGAAAGCGTATTTGTCTATTCAACAAAAGAATTCGACATGTTCTCACCAAGGTAAAATAAAGAAGATCATTTATTTGTTTTTCATTCAGGAGCAATCCCTTTTTTTTTATCTTGTCAAATATTGAATACGATTTTAGAAGACAAGTTACTATCTAAAGACAAAACACTATTGATCTTATTTTTTTTTATCTTTCGACAGATCATCAATATCTATCGACAATCATCATTCGATCATGACGAAATGAATGTTTCGATTGTGGCTTCATTTGCACGTGATCCAAATCCATCGATCACATTCGACGAATTAGCTGATACAATCGTTGAAGGACTTCTAGCACCCAATGATGGTACAGCTGGGACATTCATGTACACACTCATCTTACTTTCCATGCATCATGAGATTCAAGAAAAAGTTCGACAAGAAATTCGTGCATGTCCAAGTGAGTATTTTCAACGACAATATCACAGAACAATTTGTTCCTATTCAATATCACATTCAAGCAGAATATCATCATTTGAAATCAAATTGATCAATTTTTATGTCTTAATTTAGATCTGACTTTGAACTCTTTGAAAGAGATCAGCTATTTGGATCAAGTGCTCAGTGAATGTCAACGTTTGTTGCCAATATTTATGTTCAATGTTCCTGAATTTGCGAGCAAACCGATGACTGTCGGTGGTATTCAAATTCCTAAAAATACAATGGTGATGCTCGATGTAATCTCACTCAATCACAATTCAGATGCTTGGCAACCTGACCCATTGAGTTTTCGTCCCGAACGTTTCATTCCACCTGTTTCCCCTCAATTAATTAAAGCTTATCATGGCTTTGGCAATGGACACCTACGTCGATGTCTTGGTCAATATTTTGTCAAAAATTTACATCGTTTATTTCTCGCTCATCTGTTGAGTCGAAAACAGATTCGATTCACTAATGATATTCATCGTATTGATGATATTGAACGATGTCGTTTGCCATTTATCTATGTTCCCAGTGGAACTGTGCAACTTGAAGAACTGTAAGGAGCGAGTATTCGACTTTCTACAGATTACACTTTAATTCAGATGAGACTATCTAACTAGAATAATTATATTGATTCTATTCTAACAGAAGAAGAATGATTTTTTGTACTTTTTTTAAATTTTTTCGTTTCTATTGTTTGAATTAATCCAGTTTTGTACGAAATTCAGAAATAAAAATAAAACGCCGTCTTTTTGTGCTTGATCTATCGAGTATTGAATTCAGAATCCCTTCTCAATAGTTACTTGTCCAAAAGTATATCGCATCAAATCTTACTAATAATAGTTGCATATGAGTAACTTGAAATTATCTTGTCTG